ACTTAACTGGGAGAAACAAGAATTATGAAAGGATTTTTCCTCCACTCTCCAAGACTTGGCTACGGAAGGAATTGGTAACGTAGTGGAAATTCAAAAATTAGAACTTTTGGCTGGTAATTTGGTACGCGATTATTACGAAACGGCCAAGCAAAAGAGTGGGATTAAGAACAGCTGAAAAAGTTTGAGCGAAGAACAACAAGAAAGGTTAATTAAGTATTGATGACGAGAAAAAGTACGAATTAAGAAATATGCCGCGGCTGAGAGGGAAGAATTTGATGAATATTTACCAAACTACTTAGCCACCCGGGAAGAAATCGAATTGACTAAATTTCACGAAGAAAGAGGTAAACAGGGTTGTTCTTGTCATGATTGTCAAAAAAAGAAAATCATTCGTGAAGAGATTAAACGCAAGCGTGATGAATATTGAGAAAATTGGGAAGAAATTGAAGAGTCGGAGTGAGTAGAGGGGGAATGTGCTAATTGTTATGAATGAAAAAAAGTTAGCGTGGATAGTGGCTTATGCCGGAAGTGTGAACGAGAACAGGAGGAGGAATAAAAAAACTTGATAAATTCCCTATTATCATGCTAAGCAAATCTAAGTTAAAAATCTTGTTTTGCTAGTTTACAAAATATCGCCTTTTGTTAACTTACTAGCCGAAAATAACTCCTAAAACCCATCTAAGTTAACAAAAACGCAACTGCTAAGTTAACAAAATTATAAATAATGTAAACTTGTCATGCCATTAATTTCCAAAAAGAAAACAATTTTGCCTTCACTCAACATCAATCCCCTATCAGTAGCCAAATATTTTTACGGAAAAGGAGTAGAAACTAGTTCTATCATGCAAGATCTTCTTTACTTATCTTATTTAGAAGTGTTAAAAAAAGAGAGGCTATTTCTTTTTGAGGAAGAATTTCAAGCTTGACAACCCGGACCAACCTTAGATTCAGTTTTTTTTGCTATGTCTAAATATTTTCAAAAAAACAAGACCTACGAAGGCTTATTCGAAAAGTATCCCGATATAGATAACGAAGTAGTTATTAAGCACGTAGAAAAAATATATCAACAATATAAAGAATATGAAACCAAGAAAAGAGTAATGACTTTTTATGAAAAAGCCAAAGATAAAGCATGAAGAATAACTAGAAAGCCGTTGGGTGATAGTTCGGATTACCAACCAATAAAATTACGAACTCTCACTGATAGTTATTTACGAAAATAAAAAATTATGGCTAAGACTTTTTTTGATTTTAGTGAAATGATAGTTGATTGTCTTCACGAGCAAGGTTTTACCAATACCGTCAAACAGGATAAACTTAAAGCCATTTTAGGCGAATTACTGCAAATAGTTCAGTTTTTTAGTGACAAAGATTTTGAGCAAGCCGTTGAGCAATTAGACAACTGTCACGAAGTCAAATCTGAATACATGAAAGAAAGGGTGGGGAAGTTGTTGGGCTGGAAAACGAAA